GAGCTGGTCGCCAAGATCGCCGCCGCCATCGTTGAAAACGACATGGACTCGTACGGCCACGCCTTTGCCGCGTTCGCCCCGCTCGTCGCTGCTGGCGCCAAGGATGCCGTGCTCGCCAGGACTTTCGAGTCCGTCGAGGACATTCTTGCCCAGGCCGAGGAGACTGAGCGCCTGCTCTTCCTGTCCACCGGCCTCTCCTCGACATCGTTCGTCATCCGCAGCGCCTTCGACCTCGCTGCCGCCCTCAACAAGGCACCCCCGGCCAAGCCTGCCCAGATCACCAAGCTCGCGCGCTACTTTGAGAACAACGTCCACGCCTCGCACATTGAGGATGTCCACGCCACCCTGACCGCACTCAGCACCCTCTCGAACAACGCCTTCTTTGTGCCCCTCGCCATCACCCCGGTCGCAATCCGCGCATCCCAGCAATCTCCCCGCGTCTCCGTCCGCGTGACCAAGGCCAACGGCGATGCCGCTGGTGTCCCGCTGACCGTCAAGCTTGTTCGCTCGGCCTCGAAGCCAGTCAATGTGGCCCTGACCGCCGACGCCTCCGACGCCTCCTTGTACTCGTTCGATCTCGTCGAGCTCGTCTCTGCCTCCGGCTCTGGCGTCTACGCGCTTGAGATCTCGGCCTCCCCCGCCGGCACTGGCAAGCAGAGCGTTCTTTGCCAGGCACGGCCAAAGTTCTCGGTCTCGTATGTGGGTTGCTGCCACCATCTCCAAAGGCCCACCGTTGCCGTGGTTGAGTCCGTTTCCCGCTGCATCCTCCAAGGCTGTCGATCTCAAGTTCCCCGCCGCTGCTTCTTCCAAGTTCTCGGTGGACTTCCTCCAGAAGATTATCGTTCGCTTCAGCCTCACCGACGCCAAGGACCAGCCGTTCATCGCACACCAAGTCTTTGCGCGCGTCAGCAACGCCCGCAACGACGTTGAGCACTTTGTCATTGGCGAGCACAATGCGCAGACCAACCAGTACCAGATTGTCCTTGTAAGGCGAGGTGTTTCCGGGGTGTATGTAGTTGGCAAAGTGGGAGGATTGCATCGCTGACCATTTTTGCTTCGTCGTCGTTTTGGTCTCGCAGGACATTTCTGCGATTGCTGAGGCACTCGACGCCGCCAGCGACGATTATGAGATTTCGATCATTGTGGGTGATGCTGGCTTGGCCAGCGCAATCAACTGGAAGATTGGCACCTTTGCCATCTCCTTCCCCGATAGCTTCAAGGCCACTCTCCTTGCCGCCCGCAAGCCCGTCTCGACCGTTGGTGGCTCGCGTGCCGACTTTGCCACCAAGAAGGAGATTCACCACATCTTCCGCGTCCCCGAAAAGCGACCCCCGATCATTGTTTCGACCGTCTTCATTGGCCTGGTCCTTGCCCCCGCTGCCTTCCTCCTTGTCGCTGTAAGCTGGCGGGCGATTGTTTTTGGGGGACTTTGGAAGAAAGTGGTGGAAATTGGTTTTGTCGCAGGCGCTCACTTTTCTCTGCTCTCTATTTTGATTACTTTTGTCGATCCCTGCAGTGGGGTCTGATCGGCGCCAATGTCAAGAACATGTCATTCCACCCGATTGCCCACGTCTTCCATGCAAGCATTGCTGGTATTCTGCTTATTTTGGTCTTGTTCTGGCTCCACCTGAGCTTCTTCACCACCCTCAAGTACCTTGCGCTTGTTGGCATTGTGGCTGCTGCTTCTGGCAACCACACGTTGCGACGAATTGCTGCCGCCCGCGAAAAGGCCAGCCAGTAAAAGATCCCGCGGATGCTGGGATGCTGCTTTTGGGTATCCCTGTGCCTTGTTGTTTTTTTGTTGTTGTTGTCGTTTGTTTTGTTCCTGGTTGTCTTAATAATGAGCCCTTTCTTTCATTTCATCTTGTCTGCAAGTGTAATGTGTGACTGGAACGTGGCTTTGCAGATTGTCGCTCCAATCCGCTGAGCTTGAGCTTTTTTTTCGTTTCCAACCTATCGTCCGCCGATGATGTCGAAGTCGCTTCAGTTTGCCAATTCGGAGGAGGGGAGCGGTGTCCGACTTTGAGGCATTCTGGCGACCACTCTCTTTTTCCCCTTCAACGGTAAGCAGAACTGAAAGTCGCTTTTTTTTCCGTTTTTTTGTTTTTTCGACTTTTCGCTTCAAGCCCACGAGTGTCGGTCTGCACGGACGACGAGAACCGCCAGCCCCACCGCTGCACCTCTATGCTGCTTCTGACGGAGCTCCCTACGTGCTGCTGGTCTTGTTCCGACCAGCGGACGATGTGAATCATGAACGTCGCAAGCTGAAGTGGAAGAACGCAAAAAAAAAAAAAAAAAAAAAAAAAAGCCACTATTGTTGAAACACCCACAATGCCGCAGACTGTTTGTCGTTGCTGTTGCGCTCTGTGTTGAATCACCCGGTTGGATTCAGTGCGAGCGCCATGGAGAAGTGTGCCAGTGAGTGCTGAGAGGCGTCGCCGTGGCAGTCTGGGCAGCGGCAGGTCAACGAAGAACAAACGCCGACAACCTTCGAAAAAAAAAAAAGCAAAACCCGTCATCATTCTGCCTTGCTAGCCAGCCACTTTGCTACCTTGGCTCTGCTCCGGCCAAGACCAGCCGGCCATCTCACCCTTCACAGCCATGGAGCTTGAGCCACAGCAAACAGAGCCAAGGAACCCCCCTTCCCCCCCCCCCTTCCCCGCCCGCTGACCATGCTGACCGTGCTGACCGTGCTGACCGCGCTGACCGTGTCATCCCTCATCACTCATCCCTACTCTGTCTGGTCTGGCCTTGGTGCACTTGTTGGGTGTTTGCTTCATAGACGGCAGTGGTTTAGTGAACAATGAAACCAGATCGCAGGCTCGTCCAGTTTGAGGTACCAGTCATTCACGTCTTCTGCTGAGAATTGCCGAGACTGGGACGGAAACTTTGCTCATATCCTTACCAATGGTACTGTCGCTTCCCCTAACCTTCTCATCTTCCATTGCTCATGCGTTGGTGCATCCTTGCTCAGCTCGATCCAACCGAGGGCAGCTTGGGAGGGTTTACAATTGGAATGCCAATCTCGTCCGTCATCGGCTACCTCAACACCAAGCTCCGGGACGAGATACCTCAGTGCGAGCTCATCTATTCGGCGTCTGTAAGGATTTGTGGCTTGCTATGTCCTCCGGCCGCTGTTGGCCTTTTGTGGCTCCGATATCTGATCGTGCACGAGAACGATTTGGTCAGAACCCGCTGGCTTTGCACATTTCCATCAACCTGCCCGCAACTGGCTTGCGACTTCGCATTGATGCTGTCTCTCAGCGCCTGGTTGTCATTGAAGTGCTGGACATGTTTGCACTGACTCTGCGGTAGGTGTTCAGTTCGATCGTCCATCACTATTTGCCGGAATGCTCATCTTCCCCTCTCTTCCGTCGCTAGATTCGCGGGGAAGATCATTTCTGGGCCACGAACTCCCTTGACGTTTGTCAACGTTCAAAAGCACTTTGGCCCAACGTCGCCCGGCCGTTACGACGATGCACGACAGCAGTACATTCATGCCTACAGTGTAAGCGGGGATTTGATTTTTCGCTTCTCCGCTTTTGTTTTCTGTTGATTCAACCGCACGCTGATACTCTGTGTTACGTTCTTTGGATGTAGGGGTTTGCTTTGTATTTCGCCATCCCCAGCAAGCATCAAGCGTTCGTCAAAAACTCTGCGAGTATGGACCCGACCTTGAACCGGCGTGTGTTTGTGCTGTGAACATGAACTCACCGACCTGCTCGATGCTCTCTTCCACCTGTTGTCTGTGACTTCTGGCTGCCGCTGTAGCTTTTGGCATGTTCCCAGATGGTACAACTCCAGTCGCAGCAAAAATCTGCCTCTATCACGGAAAGTGGGACCGGCCCACTCTTCCGCCACTTCCACTGGGCTCGCTTTACATGCAGAAGGTTGGTGGTACTCTCCCAATGTTTGCAATTATGCCGCGCTTTCCAGCTTTGTGCTCATTCGACCAACACAAACCAACTCCCAAGGTTGTGGTGGATGTTCGTCACGGTTTGCACTTCCCCTTGGAGCGCACTGTCGTGCGGTTTGGCGACACCTGCCAAGACGTCTTCTCAGAGCTCGGTGCCCCAAACCACGTCTTCCACAAGGCCGATGTGCGGGCAATCGTGGCAACCAACTCGCGCCAGGGTTCTGGTAAGGAGCCAGCTTTCGTGCGAGCATTTGATTGAGCCGTGAGTCGATTGCTCACTTTTGTCATGGTGATCTGTTGCATTAGACTCGGACTACTTTTACAACTACTTTGACCGCGGGTTGGACGTGCTGTTTGACGCGCAAACGCACTCGGTGAAAAAGTTTATCTTGCACTGCAACTTCCCAGGCCATTTCGACTTTAATCGGTACAGCAAGTGCAACTTCCGGCTGTTGGGCAGTTCACTGGTTGCGCGACACAGTCGGTCCGCTGTCGGCCCCGCCAGCAAACAACCTGCTTCTTTCGGAGAACTTGACGGCGAGCCGCCAACAGAAGTGCTTGTCGACGTTTCCGGTCCAGTGTCGACGTCCTCCAAGCGAAATCGCGACGCAGACTCATCCCGAGGTAGTGCTGAAGGTACGTCAGTGCTCTCTGTAGCACAGTTCCTGGCGAATTCAACGTTGTGCCACGTTTACTCATTGTCATCGCTTAGCCGGCGTGCATGAGAATCCCTTCAATGTAGATTTGGCCTCGGTGCTTGCAGACGACCCGTCAGAGAACGATCCGTATGAAACTGTCAAGGCCCAAGAGTGCCGGGTCATCCATCCAAACATGACTGTACGCTGCTTGTTGGGTCTCAGTGTGTGTTATTTGTTTTCAGCTGCATTTCCCCGTCATCTCACAATCACATCTCACCATGCCTCCTCCTTCTTCACAGTGGGATGCTGTGCAGCATCTTATCGGTCGCCCCCGTGGCAAGCCTGCTGTCTACAACAAGGAGGTTACGTTGAATCCTTTCGGAACTGTTCAATTCCACGGTTTCAACGGCGCCATCTTTGAGGTCTGTGGAATGAGACGAGTTTGCTTTGTATCACGAGCTTCTTTCGCTCGCATCTGTGCAATTGAAATTGTGTTTTGCTCATTGCTTTGTGTTGTTTTGCTACAGATCATGAACAACAACCACATTGCATCGGTGACAGTATTCCGTCCTGCTGTAGCAACGTGTTGAAGCACGACACGATGTGCACTTCGTTTGCAAGCGTTGCGCATGGTCGGGCATCGCAGTGGCTGTCGGAATGTTGTCAACCATCGTTCAGGCCTCGATGGCCGGAGGGGTCGCCGTTTGTTTGTTGTTTCCTGATGTTTTTTGGTTAATTGGGCGTGCTTGCGTTGTGAGAATGTTGCCTTGTATAAAAAAAACCTTGCTTTTCTTGCTTGCTTGAGGACGCTTTGACGCGATTCAACGCGGACTGTGTGAGGACTGCTGGTTGAACATGACAACAATGCTGAAAACGGCAAACAGAAATAGCGGAATGAACGCCTCGCGAGCAGAAACATCAAGATCGCCGTCCAAGAGTGCTGCCAGCACGATGGAGAAGGCAATCAGCGGCAGCGCGAGTACGAACGAGATGAAGAGCGCTTTGGGCGAGTCACTCGAAGTCAGGCTGGCACGGATGGCAACGGTCAGCGAGATGTACAGGACCAGACCGAGGCCAATCCAGACGGGTGCGAATACTTGTCTCCACGATGCAGCTGCGAGTGTTCCTTGGACTGCAGCCTGGCTCGCGTTGGTCAGGTTGAGCGATGCGTGAGAAAGGCGAGCGTCATCATCAAGCTCGTCCAGCTTCAGCGCGACGAGGAGAGTGAAGACGAACGCGGCGACGGCAATGACGACGCACGAGAATGCCCATCGCGACGCCAACTGGAAGGGCAGCTCGGTGAAGGACGGCTCCAAGACGCTCAGCGCGCGCGAGTGCGCTCGACTCGAACTGCCGCTGTGGCTGCTGCTGCTCTGCCGACTCGTCCCGTGTCTCCCGCTGTGTCGATCGCCGCGGTGCCGGCTTTGTCTTGGCGGCGGTGGTGGGGGTGGGGGTGGCAGTGAAGGCTGCGAGCGGGTGGCGGACGATGATGATGATGATCTCGGGGTGACCATTGGCTCAGTGTTTGATCAGTCTGAGCGTTCCAAGCCACACAGGAAACGACTGGTGCTGGGTGTGCTTGTAACTGTTAAAGAAGGAGATATTGCGTGTACAGTAGACAGAACTACAGTTGCAGCTCGCACAAACAAAACATACAGATCAGACACACGAATCAGACAAATCAAACAAAACATACAAATCAGACATACAGAGCAGTCCACGAACAGGAACAACAACCGCCCCAAACACAAAAACAAACACCATTCACAAGAATAAACACCATTCACAAACACAACACAGCAAAACGAAAAGATAGCCTCGTTAAAGGTTTAGATGGAGACCATGGTTGCCCGCAGCACTGATGTGATTACTGCCACCGATCGGCGCTTGACACTCTGGACAAACGGCCATGGCCATAGGTCCTCCACACTCTCCAACAACGTACGGGTGGCCGTTCGGGCATGTATACCAGTGACCGTTGGTCGAAAGATTTGTTGCTGCAGCAATTTCCTTGAATTCCTTCAAAGTCAGGTTGTTCTTGTGCAGCAAAGCAGTAGTCGGGTCGCGCAACAGGTTGACCTTCTCGATCAGAGCTTTGGCATCCTGTACTTCGCCCGGCTGGAACTGGTGCGACGCCAGCAGACGCTGAAGATCTGGAACTTGCGTTTGAAACAGCCCCTCGACTTGGTCAGGCCCTCGTGTTCGACTCAACAGCAGATTCAAGTAGGCCGTCTGCAGACTGAGCAGGAGCGGCCACAGTTGACCATCCTGAGCAAGCTTTAAGCCGCGGCGAACAGTGTCGTCAATGACCTGCCAAACTGAGCTTGAATAGACCGTCTCGGCGGTGAAGTATCGCGATAGGTCGCACAGGAGAGCGCAGGCACGCACCCGCGACGACACGTCGGCAGTTGGACGACGGGCGAGCTCATTTTGATGCGCCTGCTCGGCACGCATGGTGGGCATGATTGCGGGATTGGCAGATCCCGCGCGCGAGATTGCCGAAGCGATGGCTTGACTAATCCTGGACAGAGGATCGTAGGTTGCCAAAAAGTACGCCCGATGGATGCACCAGAAGCGCGCAAACAGCAGCTCGTGCTGGCTCGCAGCTCGCCATCCAGGCAGCTGGTCGAAAGCCGAGCTGATGTCCTGCTGAAGCTTGATACGCTCCACCGGCGATGCCTGCACCACCGAGGCAAGTGCAGCACTGAGTCGCCGGGACTGCTGGAGATGCAGCAGCTCTGTGGAGTCCAGACGGAGCGCACCAGTCACACGCCCGTAGCGGTAGATGCGCTTGTCCTTGGTGATGAGACTGCGACAGGTGGGGCATTTTGGCATCGTGCGTTCAGAGCGACTTGGGAGCACCCGAACATCGTGCCATTGCTGCCCATTGTGCTTGTAGAATTCGCGCAAGCTGGTAATACCATCCATCGTCGACATGGCAAACGCATGGCCGCAACCCAGGAAAATCAGCGGATCCTCCGTCGGGTCGATCTCGCAAGCCTTTTTCATCTCGGAAAGGTCAACGACAGCATCCAAGTTCCATGTCTTCAACACTGACTCTGAGGCAGCGTCTGGTTGCTGGGCATTCGGGCGACGCAGGCCGCTGTGCGGCCGGAGCTGTGTTGCCTGCTTCAAGCACTCGAGACACCATTCCTCGGGCTCTGGACAGCTCTCGCCACAAACGCCGGGACACTGGTGGCCACAATCGAGTTGACGCTCGCAGCGCTTGTCGCATGGAAGTTTGCTGCAAGGTGCGTCGCATGGCATAATACATGGGTCGCCGTGCGGACAAGACCAAGTGCACCGCTCCACGCAAAGAGAGCAAGCATCGCCGCAGTCCTTGCTGCAGCAAGAGTGTTCACAATGCCGCTCGCAGGGCTTGGTACATGCCGGGCAATTGCTTGCAGGATGGCAGGTGCCGCCGCATTCGTGCCCGCATGGCTGGGTCCGCTTGCATCGGAAGGAGCACGGAGGATGAGGGCGCGTCCCACAGCAGTTTGACTCGCAAGGGTGCAAGCAACCCTGCAGCTGCTGCCCGCAAATCTCGGTGCATTCTGCGGTTGCAAAGTCCTTGCAGAGTACCATTTTCGGTGCGTGGCTGCACTTGCCGCGCCATTCCATGCTCACGGGGCATAGTTCGGATGTGGTGCGGACATCTTTGCAGCTCAAGCGATTAACGCAATTCAATTCGCCCAGAGGGACGGGGTTAGGTACTCGCACATCTTCCGCCGAACGGACACGAACGTATCCTGCTGGGGTGTGCGTTGCTTCATTTTGGCGCAGCGCGGCAATGACCTCCTTGGTCGCGACAACATGGCCGCAGGCAAGGCGCATCGGCAGGCCCAGCGGGATTGCGCACGCAAGCTTTTCGCATGACTCGTGGCACTTGCCGCCACATGGATGGCCGCAAGGGGCGGTTCGTTGGCACGGACGCATGCAGCGGTCAGTTTCGTGGCGACCAGGCGTGTTTGGGTGGCACTTGAGCTCGCAAGGATGTCCACATGGCAGGCGAATCGCGCAAGGCCGGTTGCAGCCTCCATCAGGTGCAAGTGCCGGCAGATCCCCGGGCTTGGCTGCGATACCAATCTCGCCGTGGACGTCGCATTTGACGCGGAACGAGTCGCCGATCTGCTCACGTTGAAACATAACGTCGAGCGCATTTCGCCACATGGACGAATTGCTAGCAAGGAGCATTGCGTTGCCGAGAATGAACTGGCCCTGCCGCGCGCGAGACAGCAGCACCGTTGTGCGGTTTTCAGACTTCAAAAAGCCAATCTTCTGCTTGCCTCTTGCCTGCGCGTTGCGGACTGTGCTGATGATGACAATGTCCGCTTCTTCGCCTTGGAAGTTGTCAATGGTGGCAATGCGTGCGAACGACCGAAGCGACTCGACCCGGGCGGTGACTTGAGGCGAATCGAGGTTGGGATTTGCTTCGTCGGCTTCCTTGGCAAGCAGCTCCTCGTCGCGTTCGTCGACCTTCAAACGAACGAGCTTGGCCGCTTGCAGCTTCTCTCGGATGCGCTTCAGCTGACCCGTGTAGAGAGTGACCACGGCAATTCCAGTGCCGTCAGCGCGATCGCCATAGCCCTGCTGCGCAAAGTAGCGTACCAAGTCGACAACCATGGCGGCCTCTTGCTCGTTGAAGTGCGATCGCGAGGTCATCTGGGCTTGCTCGCCTTCGGGGAAGTTGTGCGAAATGAATCGGTTGCAATCCGAGGTGCCGCGCAGCGCAGGGTACGCATGCGTCGTGGGATGGTCTTTCAGCGTTGGGTAACGATTGATGAGTCGCAAAATGTCAGCAAAGGCCGGCCTCATCCGGCGTTGCGTCGAGAGGGTCCAGTAAGGCAAGCCGGTCTTGATGAGGCGCTCGGGCAGCGAAACGTCAAGGTCGAGGGCATGGCGATGATTTTCAATCGACAAGCGGTACGTTTCGACGTGTGGCCGGAGCTGCTTGTGGTCGCCAATCATGATGAGGTGCTGAACACTCCGGGACAGCACACCAAGCACATGCGACTCGACGATTTCGGACGATTCCTCGATGATCAAAATCGGAGAGGCGAGCTTTGCAAACAAGTCCAGTCGCGCTGCCAGACCAGTGGTGGTCGCGCCAATCACATCCGCCTTGACCATGCTCGACAGGTTGCGTGAATTTTGTGCTTCGCGAAAACGCGCAGCGCACTCTTCCAGCTCGCTCATTCTAGCAATAAGCTTTGCGCGCATGTCTTTGCGCCATTCCGCGACGATGAGGGCGACCAAGGCGATTCGCTGATAGTGCTGCCATCGCCAAGGATCTGGCTGTCGTGCAAGCAAATCACGGAGCGCCTCCCGGCTCATGACGGGCTCGTTCGAGTCAAACCCTCGTCGGATGCCGGTAGCGTTGAGCCACTTGTTTTTGGTGGCTCTCTGAAACCCGTCAGAGTCAATGCCACGAATCCGGGCGGCCGCCAACGGATTGATCGTCTTGAGGGTATCGAGCAGCCCATTCAAAGACGGAGGAGTCTGGTAGGCATCAAGCACGCGGTTCAAGCTCTCCCAGCAGATCTCGCCTGCCCTCAGCGCGTCTCCGAAATTTTTCCCAAGTCGTCGTGCGTCATTGCGTGCTTGCGGCCGAAGCGTGTCAAACAATTCTATGCGAGACACAGCAGGAACGGTGAGTGCCGAAACCAAACACAACACTGCAGAACAAGGACAGCTATTTCCCCCTCCACCTCCGCCCGATGTAGCAGCTGACAGGACAACATCGAGTGGTCAATTACCTTTGTGCTCGGATCGAGAGCCAATCCGCTCAATCGACGTGATACCGGCCTTGTGATACAAATCAAGCAGGAAGCTGTCCAAGGCGTGGTTGGTTTGGCAGACGACGACAATCGGGCGGTTGCCGTGCTCGGTTGTCCATGCCGATCGGTTTGCCAGTAACACCTGTATGTGAATGATGGGCAAAGGTGATGGAAGATGTTGTCATTTGAAACTGTCCAGGCACAATTCAACAGCTAACCACCCTCAATAGAAACAAACCTCAGCTATTCGCGCACCAACCCAAGTCTTGCCGCAGCCCGGCGAGCCTACAAAAGAATGATGTAAAAGGATTAGTCACAGGGCCGTCCTCAACACGACTGACATACGGACGGTGCCACGCGTGAAACGCAGGCCAAAAAACAATATGTGCATCGTACCCTCAATAATCGCAAGGCGTCGAGTGAGTGCCGTCTTGAGAGCCATGGCTTGATTCTCGTCGAAGGTAGAGTTCCGCACCAACTCTGCAACAGGAAAGGCGTCAGGATAGTCCATGGGGACCCGACACAACACGCCTGGCGCCTGATCGGGCTTGGTCAAGATCCGGGACAAGTCATAAGTCGTGGTTGCGTCAATGTACGCTGGCGGATACGCCTCAGAGTCGCCCTTGGTAATCTCCTCCTTGAACGGCAGACGATGCGGGTCGTGTTGCTTCAACGCATTCAGTGTTGGCTCGTAGGCAGCAAAGTAGCCGCCAGTCACTTCCACAAGCACGGAAAACAAGCCCGAGCTTGCCACTGGCGTGCGAAGCCTGTCGAGAAGCTCAACTGCCGCGTCCGCTGGCTCGATCTTGAGGCCAAGTCTCCATCTGCCGCCTTCCAGCTGTGCTTGGTTCCATGTGGATGCGTCTTTTGACGTGCCTTTTCTCGGGTAAGTGTCGACCAAACGACCAAAGAAGAGTTGCATTTGCGTCTCGTCCGGTCGTTGGATGTGCAGGGGATTGTTGTTGTTGTTGTTGTTGTTGTTGTTGTTGTTGTTGTTGTTGTTGTTGTTGTTGTTGTTGTTGTTGTTGTTGTTGTTGTTGTTGTTGTTGTTGTTGTTGTTGTTGTTGTTGTTGTTGTTGTTGTTGTTGTTGTTGTTGTTGTTGTTGTTGTTGTTGTTGTTGTTGTTGTTGTTGTTGTTGTTGTTGTTGTTGTTGTTGTTGTTGTTGTTGTTGCTTTGATTGGTGCGATAGATGGGCTTAGTGGACAAGATCAAACTGACCAATGTGTTCGTTTTGAGACTGGAGGTTTGGTCCCAGAAAGCATCGCGTTCTTTGAACGAGTTCAAATTCACGAGGCCCGGGATGGTCACTTCAACCACGAGGACAACGCCGGACCTGGGGATGTAGTCAAGGTCGATAGCAACGGGATCGTAATAGACAAGCAAGTCTGAGCCTTCGTCTAGTTCGACTTGCGTGGGGCCGTCGCCGTTTCTGGGGACGTCTGGCGCCGGGGCGGCCGCTGCGCGTCGTGCGTTCCCATCAGCGTTGGCTCGGCCACCGGCGACTTGAGCGGCAGGATTCAGAGCCATTCCCCGAAATTCTTCTGCCAGCAAACCGTCGAGCAAACCGTCGAGCCGATCGTCGGGATCTGGCGCGTGTCGCGCACGAGCTTCAAGAGCAATCTCCGCGCCAACTTGGAAAAAGCCCTGTGTCAGCAGCTGGCGCACCCAATTCACGGCCTGATCGCTCGCACGTTGAATTGCGTCGTTGGAACGCCAACGCATTCTGTTGCTTTGAGCGAGAGAGCGCAAAGCCAGACCGGCACGGCGCCAAAGCTCGGCTGGATGCGCGACAGCAACATCAAGAGCAGCGTTTGCCTGCCCTTGGGCGGTCAGGAACGTGAGGAAGGATATGAGAGCGTCGCGGACGGGGGAGAGCATGTTTTCGCGCATGAGGCGGAAATGCGTGTCCAAGTGTCGGATGGCCGGGTTTGCATCGTGCAAGTGGTGCATCGCGTTGTCGGCGTTGCGAGGGAGGTACGGTGCGCGTGGGCAAAGCAGTTCATCCAGCGTTGGCACCACAGAAATGTCTTGGATGTCTGCGTGATCGTTGCCATGTCGCGGACCAAAACGGGACAGGGTGCCTGGGAAGTCCTGCGCGGCGCGGTCATCTTGCACAGCAGCGCGCGAGTGCTCCTTTGCATTGACGGATTTCGCGGCAGTGGGCTCCGGGCCAGATTGGCTGCGAAGCTTGTGCTGCAGCTGAGCGTCGATGAGGTCCTGTAGCTGCTCGACAGCCTGAATGACCTTGTCGGCCGATTGGGGATACAGAGTGCCAAGTTGGCCCAGCGCAAGTGCCCGAGCATTCTCACACAAATCCGCCCGGATGCTGGATACAATCGCATCTTCTCGGTCGACAACCTCATTCTTCTTGCTGTAAAACCGATGGCACAAATGGTAAACACAGAGACGAACGATAAAAGCAGTGGTGAGCGACGGGACATCAACCAAAAACGAGGGCAACCAACAAGAAATGCCCAGACAAACAGCCAAACAAACAATCAAACGCTCCAACAGGAAAAACTAAAGCAAGCTGAGCAGCAAACTTTGCGCGATGGGCGCGACTTACTAGGCCAGGACCTCGTACAGGAACGTGAGCACTGGAAGATAGACATCGAGAATACTGTTCTCCGGATCAAACACGGGAATGTTCTGGACGCCAAACGGCGAGTCGCCCTCGTTTGTGACAGTCTCTGGACGAAGACCGCCTACCAGCTGGCCGTTACGCAGTGCGGGCAACCGAGCGTCCGTTGCAGAGTGCGGGCCCGAAGGATCGACGATGGTCAGGCCAGGCGTAGCACGGTCCAGCTTTGCCAGGCGCTCCAGGAGGCGCGGCAGCTGATCCAGCCAGAAAGTTCTCAGCTCTCCGTCGTACAGCTTGTCAATCAACTCGTGGCGCTGGGTGGCGTAAGTAAACGCTTCGGAGCCGAGGACTTTCAGGAGCGGCAGCACGATCAATTGGAAGGAGATGGTCTTGGAGTTGTGGCTGAGATACGGTTGATTCAGCAGGTACATGTCCAGGTCGCTTGTCGGTGTAAAGGCGTTCTGGACGACAATGCTCGCGTTCGGGTGCTTCAAAATTTTGACCATAACGTCCACACCAGGCGTGCAGTTCTCGCCGGCGGACGTCAAACTGTGCCACAGCTCCGCTTGGCTGCTGGGCACAGTCCACAGCGCCAAGACGCGCAACGAGAACATGGACATGGAGACGTTACTTTGAAGCAATCTGCTGAGGTCATTGGTCTTGATGGCAACTCCAAACGCCAGCTTGCGCTCGGTCGAGAGCGGAGGTGCGGGGCCATGGTGATGATGCTCACCACGACCACCACCACCACCACCACCACTACGGCTGCCACGATCGGCACCGCCGCCGCGATGATGGCCGTGGTCAAAGCCTCCACGACCGCCACCACGACCACGAAACGACGGGTCTTGATGGCTGCCGCCGCGGCCACGATGGCTGCCGCCGCTGTTGGCGCCACCATGGTGTCCAGCTCCACGTCCAGCTTGCGATGCAGCAGCTGCACCACGGCCACGGTCGCTGCCGCCTGGACGATGCGCGCCGGCGCTGCGAGGGCGCTCAGATGACGAAGAAGATGCGCCGTTCGGGATTCGAGCGCCACCCGAGCCGCGTCCACGACCGCCGGTAGACGACATTGAAGAAGTGTTTGTTGGATGTCTGGGCTTCTGGTTGGAGCACCGGGGAAAGGGAGGGGAAGGGGGAGGAGAAGGGGAAAGGGGAGAAAAGAAAGGAGTGAGGTCAAAACAAATAAAAAAAAAAAGATAATGAAAAATACGGAAAAAAAAAAACAAACAAAAACAAACAAAAACAGTGCCCAAAAAGTACTCCGTCTGACTCACGCTCGCGCGAGAGTCAACAGGAGAGACGGCCAACACGCTCCACTCGCAGCACAGCCAGTGCTACACGCAGACTGTCAGAAGTGGATTGGGTGCGGCAAGGCGGGAGGGGGGGGAAGTTGGAAGGGGGGAAGGGGGAAAGGGAAACAGGAGGAAGGAAAAAAAGAAGCGTGAACGATTGTTATTGTTTGGAGTACAGCGGAGGACCATCAAAATGAAATCGACAAAGGGGAAAGCTCGCAGACGTTAAAGATTGTTATTGTTTGGAGTACATCCAAGCGGATTACTCCAAACAATAACAATTAATTTGAATTGGCATCGATAAAGGGGAAAGCTCGCAGACGTTGAAGATTGTTATTGTTTGGAGTACAACGACAACGGAGGATGCTTGCCAAGAGTGTCATTCAACAGTCAAGCAAAGCACGGTCTGAGTGTCTTCAGCAATAATTGCCGACTCGTGAGAGCACAAAAGGGGCTTATCTGAATGGAGGCGCTGTGCAACGGACAAGCTATATCCGAACATGTGAAGAATATTCCCGGCTCTCGTATGTCAGCATTGGACATTCTCTCCAAACAAGCGAAGGGCTTTCGTGAATGCTGCACTTTAGTGAATGGAGGGGAGAGTTCAGTCTTTGATTTAGTTGTTGTCGTTGTTGCTCAACACTCGCAATGGTGGCCATTCCCCGTGAATCTGGCAAGTCTCAGCAAAATCCCAATCTGCTCAGACATGTTCCCGCGCTTTTCTCTCTCTCGCTCTGCCCACCCCAAAGACCGAATCAAATCCCCCCCCCCTCCACACCGCCTCCCCTCTTGTTTGATGCATTGCTCTGCATCCTCCCTTTTGGGTGTACCGACTGACTGACTGACTGGCTGGCTGACTGTTGGAATTGCCTTTGCAGACTCCTTCCAAACGCATGCGACGTCCATGCTGATCGCCACGACGGCAGCGCGCGTCGCCGCCTTCCCGCTCGAGACAATCAAAATCATGCTCCAGACCAATCTCGTGCCGTTCATTGCAGCGGCGCCCGCTGCTCCGGCGCTGGACTCGTTCGCGCTCCAAGCGCAGCTCCATCCGTCCCCGTCCTACTTTCGCGCGCTGCCGGTCGCTGTACCAGCCGAAGTCATGGAGCTGGCTGGCACAAGACCGCCACCACCACCACAACCTCCGTCGCTGAGCGGAGCCCCAGGACGCCAACAGGGACTGGTCGCGTTTCGACCCTACTGGGACGCCAGAGAGTGCCTGCGATCGCTCGCCACTGTAGCGTCCGAGAACGTCGCTTCACGTCCATTCGGCGTGGCTATAACATCCCATGCATCCAATGTGGGAAGCACGGCTTTTTATGGGCGCGCAAGTGCTGCCCCTGCCCACCTTTACTGGGTGGTCTTTTGCGGATTCACTAGGCGACCTTCTGGGTCGGCT